GTTTCGTGGTTCGATACCCTTGAGGCGGACAGAGTTTGGTTTGTTTGGAAGTTTGTGCAAAACTACACGAAGATTATCTGTGCTAGCCGTCCCTCGTTTAGTACTGAAAGACTAAAGGGAAGGCAGCTAGTCATCATCACCCACCGCCAACTCTTGGCCTACTCTTTTATGAAGGAATAGTTGGATGGACCATCACATTATAACGTCCCCACGGCTGAAAGGGTGGGACGGGAATTCGAACCCGCAGATTGCGAGTCGAGTGCCATAACCACCGGGCCAAGGTGGACAGAACACGGATAATTTATCGAGTTACTTTGTGCTAGAACAACAACATAATTTGTAAATGTAGATTTACATAATGTTGTTTGTTTATTTCCTTCTTTTTATCTGATAACTTTATTAGGTGAACTGTGAAAAAATTGCTTCGAAAAAGAAATTCGTACAAACGATTTGTTCTAAAAAAATTTGAGATCTATTCGTGCTATTTAAAATAAAATAAAACCCTCAAGAGTTTATTTTCAGGGATTAATCTTTGGCTTCAAGTCGTAAATACGAATCGTACAGGATTTCGTAATTTAATATGCTAAATCCAAGTTTTATTTCATTGATATTAATTTCTTTTTAAATATATTCATATATATATATGTCTTTTGGTTTTAGTAATTTTTTAAGTTCTTTCTTTGAGAGCTTTTTTTTTTCTAGTTTGTATTGGGTGGTTAAGACTGAAGAGTCACTAACCAGTATGTTCCAGTGGTCAGCGATACATTTGCGGAATTACAACGCCAAACTTAACTTTGCACTAAAAATAACAAACACACTAACTAGATCACAAACCCAGTTTCTGCTCAACTGGAATTTTTATTTTACAAATAATTACTTTATAAAATCAGATTCTACTCGTGTTGTTTATTAAGTGCTCATTAAGACCAAGTTTAATTGATCTATCAAAGTGAGATAAACACAAACTGAATATATAAAGAATATTATTTTGGTATTGTGAAGTGTTAGTTAAATCTTGTAAGAACGCAAATCGTGGTGTTTATTTTAAATGTATTTTAACACCAAGAATTCTGATCTTTTACCTCCAGGTCTCAACACCTGATATACCTATCAACTACCACTTTACCTGCTTGCAATGGTCTATAATTTCTAACCTTTTGTGATAACCGTTATTATTGTAACGTACCGGTAACTGACTGGACAAGCACTGTCTTACGGCTTTCGTTTGTGAATACGTCTACAGGCTTACGACGCTGAAATTCTGGTTTCAATACCCGTGGTGGGCAGAGCACATTAGCCCCTTACGTAGCTATGGTCATCATATTATGGTCTCGTGACCAACATCTTTAGTCATTACTAACACAGATTTCATTGTAGAGGATTATTTGATGGTGTGTTTGTAGACTTCAGAAAAAAAAATACTTTTGTTGAATTCTTTGGTTTATCGACACGCCTTTGCTTAACTAATTTAGTGTATTTAACTAAAATAACTAGCCCCTTTCCCCGGTATCCCAGCGGTGAATCTGAGGGCTTATGAAGCTACAAATCGGTTTTTGATTCCCGCAGTGGGCAGAGAACAGAAAACCTATTGTACGGCTTTGTGCTTAAAAACAACCCAACAATAAATTACCTTAAGTATTAAGTTTGACGCTATATACTCCTTCAACCACTCATATCATAATAGGTAAAAATGTAAATATATATTGGCCTAAAAAAACCTTAAGAATTATTACAAAGATAAAAAAAAATACGTGTTTGTGTGTGTGTTTAATCCAAAGATGTTTGGCCAGGTGGTTAGGGCGCTCGACTCGCGGTTCGAATCC